GGGGGGGGGGGGGGGGGGCAAAAAAAACGGGGGGGCCAGGGGCGGAGAGGGGCGGAGCTGGTGGGGAGAGGCGGTGCCGCGTTGAGGACGACTCGTTCAGGCTCGATCATCAGGTCGAAGAATGAGCGGAGCGCGGCGGCGGCGAGGCTGCCGCCGCCGGTCGCACCGGAGGGACGCGCGTCGGTCGGGGCATGCACTCCCCCGCCTGGCACGTGTGTGTGTGGGGGGAGGGGGGGAGTGGCGTCAGAAGCCAGCTCTCCGGGAAGGGGCCGAGGGCGTCGGTGGCAGCAGCGCCGGCTAGAGAGCGCCCAGACCGGGCCCTGGCGCGGCTCTAGCAGCCCTCTCACGCTCGTGTGCGCAGCAGGGTGGGCAGAGGAGGCTTCTCGCAAGCGATGCACCTGGCAGCGACAGGATGGCTTGGCGCTCCTCGCGCAGCGCGTCGTCGCCGGCGGCAGAGACGAGCGCGGCGTTGCTTGCGTCACATTCATCCGACGGCGGCAGGCTCTGCGCGTACACGTCTGGGACCCGGTTACCGGCGACACCATGCCCTTGCATTCGGTACGAGGAAATCCTGAGCTGCTGCGCCGTGAGCTGAGCGGCCGATTTGCTGGACAGTTTGGCTTGGGCGTTGCGCGTCTCGACTAGCTTGCATTGCTCCGCCTGTGCACGTAGTAGCGCATCGGACCCGCCGCCCGTCCATGCCGCCGCTCCTCCTGTCATGACATGCCGCCGCTCCTCCTCGCTCATCTTGCAAAGCGGGCCGCCGGAGCAGCTCGCCGAGGGCGATGGCGGCCGCTTGAGGGAAGCCGCGTCCAGCCGGCTGGGGCAGGGTCCCCCGCGAGGTAGGATTTCTATAGTGCCCCAAGTGCTCCAAGTGCCCCAGCGGATACCAAGGCCCATCACGCGACTCGCCCGGCGGGCCGGATGCCCTGTGCCCCCGATACCCATACCCCGCCGACACGCCACGTGCAAAAGATTGGGGCTTGAAATACTCGAGTACAAGTCCGCCGAATTTAAGATTTTAGAGGCCGGCCGCAGGCCGGCGATTTTCAGATTTTAGACCAATATTTTAGAGTTATGGAGCGCATTTTCGCAAGATTTTAGCTGGAATTTCACACATTTTCAAGATTTTACAGCTCACGGCCGCCCCGCCTTCAAATCTTAAATTCGGCTGACCTGTATGAAACGGTGCCGTAGCTAATTATTAGCCTAATAACGACGTTATTAGACACCTGCTAATCTAGGTACGATATTAGGCTAATAGTTTGATAGCGTGTGTGTGTGCGCGCGTGCGTGCGCGGCGTGGCGCTCTGCCCCGCTGCCGAGGGCGCCACCAACCCGTGGCGGAACATACACACCAGTCAGTGAGGGAGGGCGAGACGATCGAGGGGTCCCGTACCACGCGGAATCGACCCTATCCAGTGCTCAAGTGCTCAAGTTCCAGATGCTCAGAGAATAAACCGCGCTGTGCATTACCGCCCTCTCCCGCTTTCGCCCGCGCGATGAAAGTGGGGGGTAAAATTCGGAATGAATTTCCGTCGGCCGCAATCGACGCGGCGCTCTCTCTTGCCATGCTACCGCTCTGCGCGGCGCCCTTGGCCTCAGAAGCATGCGACCTCAGCGCAAAAGTGTTCCGCGACCCACACATCAATTTCGCCTTCGGAGGCTCTGCCGACCTCCGCGGACGCCACAACGCGCTCTACAACTTCCTGTCTGCGCCTGGCTTCTCCGTCAATGTAAAGACCGAAGCGGCTGTCTTCAAGATGCACGGCGGAGCCCTGACCATCAATGGTACCTTTCTCACTGAGGCGCACATCACCGCGCAGCTCTCCATGCAGAAGCGCGCCACCGCCTCGTTCTGGGCATCCGAACTCGACCCCAACAATTTTGGCTGGAAGCCGGTTAACGGCACCTGCGTCGGCCGCCCATTCCGGTTCGGTTTCCACGGCCACAAGGCTTGTTTTGACTTCAAAATGTCGATGGACCACTCGAGCGCCACATTTGAGCTCGGAAACTGGACCGTGAAGGTGCACGGCAGCCGCTCGTGCAAGGGCTGTCTGGTCGCGGGCCCCGAGCACCGCCTGGACATTGGCTTCACAGCGAGAGGTGACGCGCCGGCCCGCGACAAGCCCCATGGCATCGTTGGGCAGTCCTATGCCACGCCGGGGCTCGAGCGGCACGGCAAGAAGGACCTCTACCCTTTTTCAGGCTCCTACACCACCAGCGCCCAAGCCGAGGGCGCCATCGAGGGCTCGGCGTCAGATTATCAGGTAGCGAGCCCTTACGCGACCGGGTTTGCCTTTTCGCGCTTCAACGCCGCCAGGGGCGCCCCCGCGTCTGCAGAACCCACCGGCGGGGTTGACGCCTCGTCAATCGATCGCATCGCAGACCCCGCCACTGAAGCGGAGCGCCGCCGCCTCTCCGAGGCACCTTGCCCGCCTTCGGCCGCCGGCGTCGCAGCGTCACCGCCACCGTCGCCGCAATCGCCGCCGCCAGCAAAACCGGCGTGCCCATACCCAAGCTACACGCGCAAAAGCGGGCACTCATGGACCGCAGCCAAGGCATCTTGTGAGGCGGATGGAATGCATTTGGCAGTTCCTGAGAATCCAGAACAGGACGATGCCATAGCAAAAGTGTGTGCAGGCGAATGGTGTTGGATCGGTGGCCAGAATCCATCTGGAAGCACAATCGCTTGGGTAAACAACGCTGCTAGCACCTACACAAACTGGCAAGCTAACGAGCCGAATTCTGAAGAAGCTGAAAAATGTATTGTCATCCTAAGGAATGGGCAGTGGAATGATGGCGAGTGCCATGAAGCGGGTAACTACGTTTGCCAGTGTCATGCCCGGTGACTGAACAGTAACGATGGGGGCGGCGCCTTCGTCGCCGCCCCATCGGTAGCGCGGTACTATCGCGCGTCGCGCGTTGCCTTTGTGGTGTGAATGCTGGCGGTCTGTTTTGTGGCACTAGTATAGAGTCTATGGAGTCTACACAATCTATAGAACCGAGATAGAATCTAGCGTGCACCGCCGTGCACGTGTAGATGACCCCTCCGTCCAGCCCGGGGCGGGATCTTTTAATCGCCTTGGTGGTGTTAGTTCGTGTTAGTACGGCGGCTTCCGTGTGTACCACCTCAGTGTGCTGCCATCTCCGCACGCATCATGAGTCAACGTGTGCTCGTTCCTACGGCTTTACTCACAAACGACAGTCATCTACCCCGCGCATACCACTCCTCTTCCGTCTGATCCGTCGTCGCGAGTGATCGTGAATCTCAGTGATAGATGGACGTGTGGAGTACCGTGTGCCAGCGTTGAGTCAGCGTTCATAAAAGCTAACACTGTCTGCCTTGCCCTTGGGGGAGGGGGGGCAGAAAGGTGCGCCCAAGCCGATTGCGCTCGGGGAGAGCAATTCTTCGCCATCACACGGGTCGCCGCCAACGGCATCGCCCTGCTTAGCCACACTTATCTAGGTCTGCCGGCGTGGCGGCGGTGGAGGCCACGGCGGCGGAAGCGGAGGTGGCGGGGGGCGGAGGTGGCAGCGGGCGCGTGGTGGAGGTGGTGGAGGCGCGGGCGGCCGCAGAAGCCGGCCTCGGCGCGAGAGCGCGCTGGCGGCCGGCGCGGCTCTAGTCTCACATGTTACTTCCTGTTGTCTGTTGTGATGTTGTGCTCTTGGTTGTTCCTTTGGCACGGTGGAGTGCTGGGGGGGGCGACAGGGAGGATGTGGCCTTGAGTTATGTACTCTCCGCCGCCGCTGTCTCCGCCACCCCGCCCTCCCCACCGCCGCCAAACCCCCCGCCCTCTCCCTCGCCTCCCTCCCCTCTACCGCCAAGCCCTCTGCCCTCTCCTCCGCCTTCCTCTCCGCCGCCACCGTCTCCGCCATCTCCTTCACCTCCCTCCCTCTCCGCCGCTACCGCCACCGCCATCGCCACCGCCTACACCGCCCGTTGCTCCTTTGACGCCGACACGTGACTCGCCCGTGCTGCGTGCAGTAGAGAGCGAGAGACCCGGTATCGCACAATGGTCAATGGACAATGCGATAATGACAATGCAATAATGATACAAAAATTTGTCCGTACTAGGTTGTGAGATAAAATACACCGGAGAACACGATCGAGACGCGAGATACTTTGTATCCGCTGCGCGCCCCGTGCTCTATAGCTTCTATATGCCCTACCCCTAGCATGGCCGTGGGGGCACGCGCTGCGGCCGATGGCCCGCTGCGCGCTGGGGGGGCGGCCCCCGCGCGCCGGTTCATAGAGCGTTCGCGAGCCGCGCCGACCCAAGAACACGGAAGAGTGGTACACAAACTCGGGCCGGATGTTGGGCAACGGAGAGCGGCGTATGCATGGCGGGCGTGGGCGTGGCAAGACAAACCTGACTTGGAAACTGTCGTTCCCCGGTCCTGCCCCCCGTGGCCCGCCCGAGCCCCTCAGATGCCGATGCAGCCCTCGTTGTGCGGATACAGCGGGAGGACGGCGTACATGATGCCCATGTACAGGAAGTACGCGAGGGGGAAGAAGACGCGCATCACCTCGTCGAGCCGGGCGCAGTCGGCCAGACGCCGCTGGACCGAGGAGGGGAGCGCGAACTTGGAGGCGGGCTTGTCCGGCTTGTCCTGCTTGTCGAGGTTCGCCTTTTGGGGCAGGGAGCGCCTCTTCAAGCCGGCTCTGATCCTATGCGTGCCCCCTCCAGGTCTGCTGATCCCCACAGACCCTGCCGTGGGTGCTTGACCCGGAGGCGCCCCACGCCCCCGGTGCTGTGATCCTGAGAGGGGTAGCTGCGTGACGCGATAGAGGCTTATCTGGTTCGCCTTGAGCCGCATGCCAGCGTTGACTGCCGCGTACTCGAGGAGGGCGACGAAGTTGAAAACCTACCGGATGGTTGCGAGGTGTGTAGCCTCCGACTCACGGAGGGCAAGGACTCGAATCAGCAATTGACCATGGTGCCGATCAGGAAGTCCGAGAGCCAGACGCGGTCGTCGCTCTGCAGCTGCGGCAACGAGCGATATACCGCGTTCAGGTTGTTAAGCACCATCAGGAAGCACAGGAAGGCGAGTGCGATCCGGGCCGGTGCGGCGGCGGGCGAGATGAAGAACCCCGACCAGGAGGCGAGCACCAGGAGCACGGCCACCAGAATGGTGAGCGTGCTGGAGGTGTAAGAGCTGCGGGTGAGCGAGAAGCACATGGTGACGGCAGATGTGGTGCCTGATCAAGAATGGAGGAGCGCTCGTCAGTTGAATGAGAGGGCACTTGCGGTGCCGCCCGACATGTGGCGCCGAGCGGGTTGCGGAGGGCAGGCGGGATCCCGAGAATCGGGATGGACTGGTTGCTCTGGCGGGACACTGGATGTGCTGCCCACTCGCCCGACGTGAAGGGGTCGGCGTCCACCTTCATCTGGAGCATCTCGTTGTTTACCAGCCAGTAGAGCTCGAGGTCCTGCGGCGAGGAGCCCAGCGAGGCGATCGAGAAGTCGCAGTACTGGATGTCGTAAGGCAGCTTCCCGAAACTGAACCCCCCGCAATACATCTCGACGTGCATCGCGCGGATCCAGTCTACTTTCCCGTCTGGATGGATGTACACGCTCTCGCCGTCGGCCGCCATCTTGCCGCTGCCACCGCCGACCGTGAGCGAGCGCGCATGTGGGAAGTTCAGCTGAGGCGCCCAAATGCCGAGGTCTTTCATTGCTCCGAAGTGTAGCCGCTGGCAGGACGCGTCGAACACGAGGCGAGGGTCGCTCCAGCTAGCGATGAGGTAGCCGTCGAGTCGGTACGACTTGGACACCTGGTTGATGGTGTGTATCACCGACACGTCTGTCTCGACGTTCACCCTGTCGGGAGCGGCTTCCGCCGCGCAGCTGCCCTCGAGCGCCTGGCCTGGCCGCATGGAGGCATCGTAGCTGGCCGTGAGATTCGAAAGGATGTCGCGCTGGGAAACGGCGGCCACAGTCGCGAGGGCAAAGACTGCCATTGTCGACCGTGTGGCGCCGCGGTGTTCGGCGTGGGCGGCGGCGGTGGCGAGCGCGCGGCCGTGAGGCGAAAGCCGTGTGTCGCGCAAAAGCAGGCGCAGCCGCAAGGGTGGTTTTTGGCGCCGTCTTGAGGAGACGCCGTGTAAAAAAGAATTTTATACGCCAATTTTTTCCGCACGAAAAAAGAAAGGGAAACGACGGCCCTGCCACCCCTGTCAGTGTGCCTGTGGTAGTGAGAGACTGCCAGTGAGAAACTGGAGGCAGGTCGCCAGATGGAGATGAGACCGCCGGTGGAGTAGGGAGTCCACCGAGCACCGTGCTGCGAGCCTGTCGCTGTCCCTTATCAGGAGCAGGAGAACTAGGAGAGCGCAACCAGTCGGAGGCCCGCGCCTGCGCCCGTGCCGCCGGGTGCAACTTTGTCCTATACGAGAGGGGAATCCCTGCTTCCCTGGGACCCTGCTGTGTGGGTGAACACCCTGCCCAGCCCCCCTCCGAGCTCCGTGTCGCGATGCGCTCCCCACTCCGTTCATCCGTGTCCCTGATCGCCCTTCCAAAATCCTGCTCGTGCACAGTAGGCTGTGCCAACTGTGCAGAACGTGTGAGCAGCAGAGGAGCTGCTCTCCAGGCTTCTGTCGCAAAGAGCTGCATGCCACCGAAGGCGCTGTCGAGGTTCGCCGAGCTTGGCGAAATCCGGGGACGCCGCCACCGACGGAGCGCGTTGGACTTTTCACTCTCCGGACAAAGTCAAAGACCGCTGCACAGAGCGGACGGTGCGGGGTGTGTCCCCGTCATGGCGGCGAGGCGCGGGACCGTCTGTGCACTGTGGCGAAGTGGATCGCGTCCCCGGATTTCCGTCAACTCAGTCTCCACACCCTCTACGTATCAATCAACTCGAGTTTTGTTGCTTCTGGGGAAATCGAGTATCACGGGTTGGTGAAGCAGCCGCCGTGCCACGCTGGGCAGACGATGCCGTGCGCGTGGAACGGCACAACTCCCCCGAGTCCAAACTGGTCCACTAGCGCGAGACTCCGCGCGTCAAACACGCCGAGAGAGCTCGAATCCGTCGTGGAATTGTACAGCACCGAGAGCAAGACCCCGTCGTCCTCCGCGGCGGCGGCGGTGCTCCCCCTCCGAGGCACAAAGTCCGCCTCCGTGACGTAGACGCCGGGGCGCGCCCACGACGCGGCGACGGCGCCACCTCCGCGGGAGACGTCGACCTTGACAATCTGGTCGAACCACTTCGAGTCGGCCGCCGAGGGCGCGAGGGCGTAGAAGAAGCGGTAGTCGTGCCGCGCCTTGAAGAGCGGGTTGAAGGTGGGGTAATCGAAGGGCAGGCTCGCGTTGACGGCGGCCGAGAGCGGTGCGCAGCGGACTCCGGCCTTGGCGCTTCCCTCCGTCGGCACGCGGCAGCGCAGCGGCGCCTGGAAGCGCCTGCTCCACTCCATGGGCGCGCGCAAGTTCGGCTCGCTGTATAGGTCGAGGTACTCGCTGGTCGTGGCAACCGTCTCGACCACCACCTGTTCACAGCTAGAGGTGTGAATAGACGCCGTTCACACCATACGTGGCAACCGTCTCGACCACCACCTCGGCGGTGCGCGGGTCCTCGAAGCAGTTCCAAAAGTGGTTGTTGACGAAGCGGGCGCCGCCGCTCGAGAGCACCCGCGAGCGATTCGTCGCTCGCTCGAGGAGCAGCCAGAGGTCGTCCTCGTCCTAGCGGCGGCACCGGCGGCGGCGGCGGCGGGGGGGGGGGGGGGTGAGGGAGGTTTGGGGGGCGGAAGAGGAAATGAAACGGCGGGGGCCGTCCTCCGCTCGCGCCTGGTCCAGTAACCGCAGCATGCCGCCGTTGGTGAATCTCGGCGAATCTCGGGAGATCTCAATCTCGCGCCTGGTGCAGGAACCGCAGCATGCCGCCGTTAGTGTTGAGCGGACTGCGCGCGCCGAATGAGTCGAGCTTGGCGAGCACGAAGCGCGGCGTGACGCACGGCGAGTGCGAGTGCTGGATGAGCTTCTTCCGCGGCAGTGTGGCGCGCGAGACGAGGACGGTGCGGAGGTCGCCCGCCGTCGGCCGCAGCAGCGAGAAGCACGCCTAGGGAGGTAGGGGGGTGACGCCTCTCCACCCGCTAGCGCGGGGCAAGGTTTTGGCCACCCCTCGCACCTCCACGGCCCAAGAAAGGAGCCCCACGTAGTACGCGTGTTGTGTGCGTGCGTGCGTGCGTGCGTGCGTGCGTGCGTGCGTGCGTGTGGTTGCGTATTGCGTGTGTGAGCAGGCCTGGTCGGTCAGGGGGCTGCCGGGCACTGGGCCGGGACCCGGCTTTGGGCACGGGTGCTGCACGAAGCACGCGCTCCCATCGCAGGCGGGGTGCGCCTACGCGACATGCACATGCACATGTCTCGGACATGTCGTGGACGCGTCCCGGACATGTCCCATCGCAGGCGGGGTGCGCCTACGCGACATGCACATGCACATGTCTCGGACATGTCGTGGACGCGTCCCGGACATGTCCCATCGCAGGCGGGGTGCGCGTTGAGGACGAGCGAGTCCACAACCGCGCGGCCGGGCAGCGTCGCCAGGGTCTGCCGCCGCGGAGGGGGAGAGAGAGGGCACGTGACGGAGGGAGAGGGCAGGCGCGTGGGAGAGAGAGGGAGGGCACGCGACGGCGGTGCAAGGCAGTCGCACGGCGGCAAGCCCAGGATACTATCGGCGAAAGCAGCCAAGGCCAGCAGCGAGGTGGCAGGGCTAGCGCCGCCTGCGGGTCGACGCGGCCCCACGAGGCGGTGTCAATCGTGAGCCACAGCTGCTGCTCCGCGCCCGGCCCGCGCAGAGGCAAGAGGTTGACACCAGGGTTGGTGAAGCAGAGGTGCGCGCCGGCCGTCGGGCCGGTACCCGTCCCGAAGAAGAGGCACGACTGGTACCTGTGGGGAGCCAGGGGGTGAGGCGGAAAGGGCAGAGCGGGAGGAAGAGGCACGACTGGCACCGTTCAAAGGCGTCGCTCTCGAAAGGCATCGAGCGCCACGTGAGGGAGGGAGCGCTTTGCGGGCCGCCGTCACCGGTGGCGTCGAACGAGAAGCGGATCACCTCGGCCAGGCCATCAAAGTGGTACCGCATCCCGTGCGGGAAGGAGCCTGGGACGAGGCGATAGTGAACCAGGCCCGCCATCCACGCCGGCGCCCGCTTGCCGACGGCGGTGCCGGACGCGATGGACGAGTTGCGCAGCATGTGGCCCAGGAGGCGGCTAGGACCGCCTTGGCTCGGCGGGAGCGGGCCGCCTTGGCTCGGCGGGAGCCTCTCCGGGGGCGGAAAGAGACCGCTTCGGATGAGGGGTTCCCAGGCGGCATCGGACATGATGTGGCACCGTCCAATTTACTGCATTCCAACCGCTGATATGCGGCGTGGGGCCGGCCCCCGGGGGGGGGGGCCGCCGGCGGCGCTGCTGCCGCGCACGCTGCGCTGTGGGCGTCACCATCGTGTCCTCGCCGCGTCGCCGACGCCGCTTGCCGCTCGCGGCTGCCCTGCCCTTCCCTGCCATCGCGCAAACAAACACACACACACACACAAACACTCACACATTATTAATCATCGGGCGGCGGCGCGGCGCGGCGGCGGGCGGCGCGAGGCGGCGGCGCGGCGAGGCAGCGGGCGACGCAGGGCGCGGCGGCGGCGGGGGGGAATTACTTATTTGTTAATTAATTAATAATTAATAACCATCGGGCGGCGGCGCTGCGCGGCGGGCGGGCGACGGGGAGCGGGGCGGCGAGACCATCTGTACTGAACGGGCCGGCTAGCTGGTCCTTGAGTCAGGGCAATGGTCGCGCCGCCCTCGACTCGAGGGGCTGCCTTCCACCCGTAGCTGCTCAGGCCGGGGGAGGGGGAGAGGCCTCCTGTTCCTCGCGGAACGCGCGGGGGCCGACCCCTTGCCCCGGCCTTCGATGCAGGGCGGTGGTCGTGCCATGGGCGCTTCGTACACAAACCACCACGCCGCGCCGCTCTCAGGCGCATCAACACCCTTGTCTCACCCGTCAGGGGCAAGATGTCTGGCCTTTACCTCAACCGTGTCTACGGCGACCGCCCGGTATACTTTGCCTACTTCAAGCGTAAGACTAACCTTCCTCTCCTCCCAAGGGAAGTGCTGACCCGATTTCCAAATTCACACATCGTTCGCGGCCCCGGCCATGCATGAGCAATCAGTGAGTGCCCTACGAGTGCACTCGACGACATCATCCCTGAGCGTGCATGCTGACTTAATCGCAGATGCCTCTTCGGAGGCAGGTTTCCGGACGAGCAAGTTAGCCGCCCCTCCTAGCCAAATTGGTGGCGCGCCCCTTGCCGCCCCGCGTGGGCACTTGAGCGGCAATGGAGCGGGCACCCATGGAGACGGTAAGAAGAAGCCGTCAAACGCAAAGAAGAATGCAACACGCCAGGCCGCTGCCGCCCAGGCTCGGGCCGAGAGGGAAAAGGCCCTCGACTTTGCTCAGGGCGCAGGGCAGGTTGACGGCGTCTGGTACCTCGACTCCAAGGAACTGAAGCTTGCACTCGACAGGTGGGAGCGGAGGAACGACTCCGACGCAAGCTCTCTCCCACAATCTCTCGCACAATCTCTCGAACCCAGTGAGCGCGGCAGTGATGACTGCCCCATCCTATCCGAAGATTCGTTCACCGGCTTCTCCGACTGCGCTGAGTGGTAGGGCCCCCAAGGGCCTAGAAATCGCGCCTCCCTCTCCCTTGTCTCTCTCACGTATTACATCGATTTACGGTACGTATGGTCTGATCACAGTCGGATCAAGGTCGGAACAGGTCAGAGTCTTATACGAGCGTCATTTTGTACGCACCCCCCCTAGTTCGTGGGGACCCCCCCGCCGGTCGGTGGTCTGCCCCCGAGGTGGACCGGACCCCCCCTCCGGTCGGTCGCTCTCTCGGCGGCGGGAGGTGTGACGACCGACCCCCCCCTCGGTCGGTCGGTGTCCTTGCCGTGAGCCCCCTCAAACGCTCTCTCTCCCTCCTTCTCGCGAACCGCCACGGGCGCTTCGAAATCGCCGGTTTTCACTATGAAAACTAGTTACGCAGCCAAGCGCCAAGGAGACTTCTTCGCCGAGGCCCGAGCAAGCCCGACCCCACACGTGTATGTGGAGCATCTACGCAGTCGCAGGCCTGGTCCTGCTTGCCGTCGCTTTGTACAAGCTCTGGCCGCGCTCAAGCGGCTCGTCAACGGGTACAGTGTGTCGCCGGCGAAACTAATCGTATGGACGACGACGACCAGAGTGTGGACATGGACAAGCTCGTGTTCCGACCCAATCCTGAGCGTCTCGGTCTCGAGCTCAGCCACTCGGACGACGAGGAGTGATTAGACGGGGAGAGGGCGCTTGGTCTCTAGTATTTCGAGATACTAATTTATTCACAGCTGCGGCGAGCGTCGGTGTGCGGTGTGTGTGACCCTCGAGTCAGCCCGACCGACCCCCCCCCCTCGGTCTGTGCTCCGACCGACCGGACCCCCCCTCCGGTCTGCGGTCTTCCGCGGCCGTCGACCGGACCCCCCCTGCGGTCGGTCGGTCTGCGCTGGGCGCTCAAACCGCAAACTCGGCCTGTTCACTACAAGATGACGCTCGTATTACCCTCTTTGCCATGGCCTCCCGAAAGCGCGCCTTAGCCGCCGGCGAAGGCGAGGAGGAGGGCGAGGCTGTGCCGGTCGCGGGTGGATTCGAGGCGCCCATCTTTGGCGCCCGCGTCGTTGGCCAGGTCACCACGCTGGCGCTCGAGGGCGAGGACGGCCCTCCGGCATCGCTCCTGCGTGCCGTCGCAAGCGATCGCTCGGGCGGCTGGTACGTGACGACTGAGCACTCGCTGCTGCATGTGTCGGCGGCCGGGCGCATCCACACCATCGCGACCTGCGAGGATTGCCGCGGTATTGCCCTCAGCCCCGACGGCAGCGCGATGTTTTTGACGGACTTCGGCAACCACAAGATCCTGCGGGCGGAGGTGGCGACGGGCGCGGTGACTACGCTCGCGGGCAGCGGCGGAAAAGGCGACGCGGACGGCGTGGGCGACGCGGACGGCGTGGGCGACGCGGCGCAGTTCAATGCCCCATAATACGGCGTCACCATTAGCCCGGACGGCAGCGCGCTGTTTGTGGCGGAGTTCGGCGGCCACAAGATCCGGCGGGTGGAGGTGGCGACGGGCGCTGTGAGCACGCTCGCCGGCAGCGGCGCCCAGGGCAGCGCGGACGGCATGGGCGACGCGGCGCAGTTCTCGCGCCCAATCGGCGTCGCCGTCAGCCCCGACGGCAGCGCGCTGTTTGTGGCGGACTTTGGCAGCCACAAGATCCGGCGCGTGGAGGTGGCGACGGGCGCGGTGACGACTGTCGCGGGCAGGGGCACTGCTGGCAGCGCTGATGGCGTCGTGGGCGACGCGGCCCAGTTCAATGGCCCACACGGCGCCACCATCAGCCCAGACGGCAGCGAACTGTTTGTGGCGGACTGCTGGAACAACAAGATCCGGCGCGTGGAGGTGGCGACGGGCGCGGTGACGACTGTCGCGGGCAGTGGCACTACTGGCAGCGCTGATGGCGTGGGCGGCGCGGCGGAGTTCTCGCGCCCAATCGGCGTCGCCCTCAGCCCCGATGGCAGCACTCTTCTGGTCCGCGCGGGAGGTTCTCTCCGCCAGGTCTGCGTGGCTGCGCCTCCTCCGCCTCCCTCCTTTGCGCCGCTCGTGGTGCCGCCCTCGACCCTCGTGGCAGACCTGAAGAAGATGCGGGGCGACGCCAGCCTCCCCGACGGCAAGGTCACCTTCATCGTCGGCGATGACGATGAGCGCATCGAACACGTGAGCAAGAGCCTGCTCTGCGTGCGGTCCGAGTACTATGGGCCGGGACGCCGGGGGGCGGGCGCCGGAAGGGCTGCGATGCCGAGGAGGTCACTCTGGTCAGCAGTGCCGGGGAGCGGGGTGGGAAAACGTCTATGTGTATCGCGCGTCTTGCCGGGGGGGGGGCGCGGAAAAGAGGAGCCTCTTATTTCCATCGCCGCGGAGCTGCAAGCAGCGCCGGGCGATGTACTTACTATCTTACCGCCTCCCGGTCCCCCTCGGCACACCACCGCTATTTGTTCGTGTTCTGCGGATTAATCGTTGCATGCACAGAGCTACGGCGTTTATTCGGCGTGCGTCGCAGGGCGGCAGGGGACCCACAGTCCCACACACACACTCCAACAACAAAGCTGCGCGACGCCTCACCTTCCTTTCGTCGTTTTCGGTTTGTCGTTTGTGTTTACCAGTACCTTCCACGACCGGGTGTTGCGGCGCGCGCGCGGGGCAGGACACCAAAACGGGTGAGAAACCTACTAAAAAGAATTCACAAACAAGGCACCTACCTGGTAGGAGCTAGGACCGACCGACCGAGGAGAGCGATGAGTCAGAGGAAGAGACAGCAGGAGAGAGAACGACGAGAGTGGGAAGAACGCGAGGTGGCATGAAGGTCGCTGCGAGAATTGGTGAGAAACTGCGGAGAGAGATAGGAAGTGGTAGACGCCCGAGGGTGGGCGACGGCTAGCACCACACTCCTCTCCTTAAAATCCCTGTGTGGTGGCGGCGTGCCGTCCTCCCATCCCTCCCTTGGGGTGTCTGTTTTCTTTCTTTCTTTCTTTAGGAGCTAGGACGCCTTTCCCCTAATAAATACGTACGGGACGCCTTTCCCCTAATACGTGTATTCGTCTGGAGCTGTCAGGACGTGCTCGCAAACTGCAGGGTGTGCTCGACTTTACGGGCCGATCCGAGATAGCGGGCCGATGCTCATTCGTGCAAATGCTCATTCGTGCAAATGCTCTCGAACTCCAGTCACGCTCCACTTTGGTGGGCGCCACGGGTAAGGTACTCCGGCTTGTTCTCCGGCTGCTTCCGCTTCGCTTGGGCACGGCGGCCTTGACTTGAACTCCACTCCATGCTGCTTGTCCTCGTGTGTGCCACGGGTGCGCCGGTCGTTCGCCAAACAAGCGCCGGAGGAGACAGTCTAAGCCTCGGCAACGCGCGACCAACTGAAGTGCACGCATGGCGTGGCAGCCGGCGCACAACGGCGGTCTGCACGACATGCGCCCTACCTGCCTGCGGCTGCGATATGAGCCCTGGCTGGTGCAACATGGCTTCGCACTGCTACGCGACATGCAAACCCTGGATGACCCGTTGCTCGGCGCCAGAGCCCACTGTGCCTCCGTGCTCCTCCAACGCTGTCGAAACGTGGGGCAAGTGCTCCTACTCCGGTCAGTGCTGCTCCTCGGCTGACGAGTGCTTCATCAAGACCGTTTTCAAGCCATACGCCAAGAACAGTTACTATGCTCAGTGTCGCCCGTCGTGCCCGGCGAACAACGATCCCATTTGGGCGTGTGCCAGTGGACGCGTCGCACCATCGCGAGAGGAGTTCGAGAAGGACTATCCTGGCCTCACCTGGCACGCGCAGTGCGGAGGAGTCGGATTCTCAACCGACCCGCTCGCGTGTCAGGAGGGCCTGGGATGCTACCAGCGGAACGAGTACTACTGGCAGTGCCTTGAAGTGTGCCCTGGAGACGGATGGGCTTGCGCACTCTCCACCGACCTCGCTCCGCCCCTGCCACCGTCGGCGTCGCCATTCCCACCCCCGCCCTCTGCGTCGCCCTCGTCGCCGCCACCGTCGGCGTGGCCGTCGCCACCGCCTCCCTCCGCCTCGCCGTCGATGCCGCCACTCCCCCCCGGCTGGGCCGTCGCAACCAGACTCACGTTCGTGTATCAGGCCCCGGCTGGCGCCTGCCAATCCTTCGACGAAGCGTCGGAGCGCGCAACGCTGTCAGATATCATCAAAGTGCCGGAATCGAACATTCGTGTCGCTCTCCGAGGCTGTTCCACCTCTGGCCGTCGGCAGATGCAGAGCAGCGTTCTCAGCGGCGGCGGCGGCGGCGGCGATACCTTCTATGGGCAGCCCTATGTGGACGCCGAGGTTGTCGTCGAGCAGGACTCCGACACAACCCCAGAGGCCGTCATCAGTGCTGCTCAGAACTCCGATCACATCGCGCTGAACGAGCCGGTGACCGTGGTGGAAGTGGCCATGGGCTCGCCGTCGCCGCCACCACCTTCTACCTCGCCGTCGCCGCCGCCGCCGTCGCTGTCGCCCTCGCCGCCTCCCATGCCACCGCCTCCGGTGCCGCCGCCGCCTGCCCCTCCGCCACCCTCGCCGCCGCCGCCGTCGCTGTCGCCCTCACCGCCTCCCACACCGCCGCCTCCGGCACCGCCGCCGCCGGCCCCTCCGCCGCCCTCGCCGCCGCCGCCGTCGCTGTCGCCCTCGCCGCCTCCCACGCCGCCGCCTCCGGCACCGCCGCCGCCGGCCCCGCCGCCACCCTCGCCGCCGCCGCCATCGCCCTCGCCACCGCCGCCTCCTGCACCGCCGCCGCCGGCCACTCCGCCGCCCTCGCCGCCGCCGCCGTCGCTGTCGCCCTCGCCGCCTCCCACGCCGCCGCCTCCGGCACCGCCGCCGCCGGCCCCTCCGCCGCCCTCGCCGCCGCCGCCGTCGCTGTCGCCCTCGCCGCCTCCCACGCCGCCGCCTCCGGCACCGCCGCCGCCTGCCCCTCCGCCGCCCACGCCGCCGCCGCCGTCGCCGTCGCCCTCGCCCTCGCCTCCATCGCCGCCGGCATCCCCGCCGCCACCGCTCATCTGGTCCCAGAACGAGGGTGGCAGCTGCACCGATCACTGCGCCAGCCTCGGCACGACGTGCGCCGACGAGACGCCCAACAACCCGCCCTTGCCGGCCGACGAGTGGCCTAAAACCGTCTGGCCGACGACAGAGGCGCAGATGGAGGCCATCTCGGACGCGTGGGGCCTGGGGTGCACCGCGTACGTTGATCGTCCGGACCTCTATGTGCGCGTTGACCCGCCCGAAGGCAGCACGGTGAAGTGCTTTTACGGCAACACCGCAAGCTGCCCTAACGCGTGGGGAGATCGGCGTCGCCTCTGCCCGTGCCTCGCAACTGTCTCTCCACCGCCCTCGCCTCTGTCCCCGCCGCCGCCGCTACCCTCCGCCTCGCCCTCGCCGCCGCCCGCAGTGCCATTCCCCCCCCAAGGCGTCCTGATCCTCGACGGCAACTCCGACACAGAGGCGTGCGTCCACGACGCCGAGGCCACTACGCACGGCGGGACAGCCATTGCAGCGCAGTGCTGCGACGGCTCGACCTGCAAGCGTCGCACCTCCGGCAGCAACGACGACTGCATCGCAGGGTTATGGTCCTCCTCCTTCCAGTACACAACCTTCCAGGAGGCTTCGGCGCGGTGCGCTGCGCTCGGCTACACTCTGTGCGACAAGAACTGCCAAGGGACAGGCTGCTCCTACGACTCCATCTGGGTGTGGACAAGCCAGCCGTGCCCTCTCCCGCCGCCGACGCCACCGCCACCTTCCCCTCCGCCGCCTCCGCCGCCCGCACCACCGCCTCCCACGCCGCCGCTACCCTCCGCCTCGCCCTCGCCGCCGCCCGCAGTGCCATTCCCCCCCCAAGGCGTCCTGATCCTCGACGGCAACTCCGACACAGAGGCGTGCGTCCACGACGCCGAGGCCACTACGCACGGCGGGACAGCCATTGCAGCGCAGTGCTGCGACGGCTCGACCTGCAAGCGTCGCACCTCCGGCAGCAACGACGACTGCATCGCAGGGTTATGGTCCTCCTCCTTCCAGTACACAACCTTCCAGGAGGCTTCGGCGCGGTGCGCTGCGCTCGGCTACACTCTGTGCGACAAGAACTGCCAAGGGACAGGCTGCTCCTACGACTCCATCTGGGTGTGGACGAGCCAGCCGTGCCCTCTCCCGCCGCCCACGCCACCGTCACCACCCCCGTCGCCTCCGCCGCCATCCCCGCCGCCGCCACCGCTCATCTGGTCCCAGAACGAGGGTGGCAGCTGCACCGATCACTGCGCCAGCCTCGGCACGACGTGCGCCGACGAGACGCCCAACAACCCGCCCTTGCCGGCCGACGAGTGGCCTAAAACCGTCTGGCCGACGACAGAGGCGCAGATGGAGGCCATCTCGGACGCGTGGGGCCTGGGGTGCACCACGTACGTTGATCGTCCGGACCTCTATGTGCGCGTTGACCCGCCCGAAGGCAGCACGGTGAAGTGCTTTTACGGCAACACCGCAAGCTGCCCTAACGCGTGGGGAGATCGGCGTCGCCTCTGCCCGTGCCTCGCAACTGTCTCTCCACCGCCCTCGCCTCTGTCCCCGCCGCCGCCGCTACCCTCCGCCTCGCCCTCGCCGCCGCCCGCAGTGCCATTCCCCCCCCAAGGCGTCCTGATCCTCGACGGCAACTCCGACACAGAGGCGTGCGTCCACGACGCCGAGGCCACTACGCACGGCGGGACAGCCATTGCAGCGCAGTGCTGCGACGGCTCGACCTGCAAGCGTCGCACCTCCGGCAGCAACGACGACTGCATCGCAGGGTTATGGTCCTCCTCCTTCCAGTACACAACCTTCCAGGAGGCTTCGGCGCGGTGCGCTGCGCTCGGCTACACTCTGTGCGACAAGAACTGCCAAGGGACAGGCTGCTCCTACGACTCCATCTGGGTGTGGACAAGCCAGCCGTGCCCTCTCCCGCCGCCGACGCCACCGCCACCTTCCCCTCCGCCGCCTCCGCCGCCCGCACCACCGCCTCCCACGCCGCCGCTACCCTCCGCCTCGCCCTCGCCGCCGCCCGCAGTGCCATTCCCCCCCCAAGGCGTCCTGATCCTCGACGGCAACTCCGACACAGAGGCGTGCGTCCACGACGCCGAGGCCACTACGCACGGCGGGACAGCCATTGCAGCGCAGTGCTGCGACGGCTCGACCTGCAAGCGTCGCACCTCCGGCAGCAACGACGACTGCATCGCAGGGTTATGGTCCTCCTCCTTCCAGTACACAACCTTCCAGGAGGCTTCGGCGCGGTGCGCTGCGCTCGGCTACACTCTGTGCGACAAGAACTGCCAAGGGACAGGCTGCTCCTACGACTCCATCTGGGTGTGGACGAGCCAGCCGTGCCCTCTCCCGCCGCCCACGCCACCGTCACCACCCCCGTCGCCTCCGCCGCCATCCCCGCCGCCGCCACCGCTCATCTGGTCCCAGAACGAGGGTGGCAGCTGCACCGATCACTGCGCCAGCCTCGGCACGACGTGCGCCGACGAGACGCCCAACAACCCGCCCTTGCCGGCCGACGAGTGGCCTAAAACCGTCTGGCCGACGACAGAGGCGCAGATGGAGGCCATCTCGGACGCGTGGGGCCTGGGGTGCACCACGTACGTTGATCGTCCGGACCTCTATGTGCGCGTTGACCCGCCCGAAGGCAGCACGGTGAAGTGCTTTTACGGCAACACCGCAAGCTGCCCTAACGCGTGGGGAGATCGGCGTCGCCTCTGCCCGTGCCTCGCACCGCCGCCGCCGCCCTCCCCCCCGCCGCCTCCACGCTTTCCACCCCCGCCACCCACGCCGCCTGCACCTCCGTCCCCGCCGCCGCCGCCATACTTTCTCCTCGCCTCGGGCGAATCTTGCGGCATCTACAGCATCGGCTCACAATCAGGCTGCGAGCGGGCCGGATGGCAGTGCGAGTGGTGCGGCAAGCAGGACTCGGGCTTCGGATCGTCGCTCGGGCTTGATGGGAGCGGAGGCCGCGCGGGTGCTGAAACCACGACACTTGACGGGGTGACCGTGTGGCTGTACCCCTCGTCGAAAGAATACCCTGAACGCGGCGTCTCCTACGGCTGGGAATGGACTATCTCGACCAGACCACCCGGCTGCTTTGTTGAGACCGACATTTACCAGTCTGTCGATCGCACGAAGTTCTTATTCAACTCTAAGTCGCCGTCGCAAGCGGCACCGTGCTCCGCTGCTCATCCCTGCGTCTGCGGACCGGACATCGAAGCCCCGGAGGCGCCGCCGCCGTCGCCCGTCCCCCCCGTCCCCCCGGCTCCTCCAGGCCAAGTGTGGACCTCGCCGGGTGGCATCACGTACACGAGCAACCCCTGGTTGAGCTGCGGTCTGACCAGTGGCTTCATCTACGGCCCTGAGGGCTTCCCCGTCGCGGCGACTCTCACGTACGCCATCGAGAAGTGCTCGCAGCTTAGCATCAGCAGCGGCCGGGAGTGCATCGGCCTTCGGTACACCATGGACCTCAACTCGGTGCGGCAGCAATACTTGGGCTGCTACGGGCTGTACACGGACTCTCAGAGCATGCGTGGTGCCGACGACGACCCGGAGTACTTCATCATCCCTGGGTCTCGCTAAAGATCCCCTGATTGCAAACCAACACCCTCGCAAGGCGCGAGACACACACGACACACACTGGGACAACAGCAAAATCCTTATGCCACGACAGAGTCCACAAAAGACATGCAATAGACAAGGCCTCTCGCCGCTGGCCGTAACGTACTCACCCAAGCCTTCTCGAGACGGAGGGGGGCCCAGGTCAAACACTCACTAGCAGTCGGGAGGAAGGACAGGGCAACTGCGTACAGGTCTTCACATGTGCCATAGGTCGGTCTGCTGTGAGTTTTGTTTATAAACTGCATGGATAAATCCAGGTTACCTGGACACCTTTGCCTGGGCTTGCCTGTTTTCTTTCTTTTTTTCCCTTAGAATTTTACAGAAGAAGAAAATGGGCAGTATGTGCTCTGGACGGAGTACGAGACAAGAGGTATGAGGCTCTCGACGAGGGTTAGCTATCCGCGCTCCGGGTTTCGTATGATTTTTGCCTTTCACTTTCTTTCTTTCGTGGGGTGTGGCTGACTTCCCCCTTTTGTGCCTCCTCAGAGCCACCGTCACTCGATGGCGAAAGGGATGGCGCCGTCGAAAGGTATGCGCTCACCCTCCGGCCAGCAGCCGGCGTACACGCGGAGCTCGCTCAGCTCGTCCGACGAGGGCTTGGCGCCTAATTAGGTTCGCACTCACAGTTGCAGTCACAAGCAGCAATGAAGCTCGCCCGGCTCGCCCGACGAGGGCTCTAGATCTAGCACCAAAGAGCGAGCGGCTGCCGTCCGGGAGGCACTCGTAGTACGGCCCGAGCTTGGACGAGACGAGCCGCTCGCTGCCCGGGTTCATCATCGCGGTGAGCCCCTCGGCGCCAAAGCGCGGGCCTGGCCGGGGGAGGAGACACGGAGGGGGAGGGGGGGGTGAGGAGGAGAGACGGAGGGGGGTGGAGGGGGAGAGGCAGCGGCGGCGGCGCCCGTCTCCGGCTCGTCGATCGTCGCGAGGCCGGCGCCGCCAATCTTCTGCAGCTTGATTGCGGGACGGGCGGTGTCGCCGCTCGGCCAGGAGAAGAGGAAGGCGGCGATGCTGCCTCGGTACTCGCCATAGCCCGCGAAGCCCTTGGGCGCGTACCTGCAGACAACGGACCACGAGGCAGGTCGGGGACTCGTGGGGGCGGCGCCGGGGGGAGGCTGCCAGGTGTGCGAGCGCATTGACAGGGAGCTGGAGAGGGGGGGGGGGGAGAAGAGTGGCCGGCCGTACTGAGGACTCACGACCAGGCGCCATCCGTGCATAGGCGAGTGCCACCACCCATAGGCAGGGGCTGTGTGCGCGCCCGCCGCAGACGGCACCGCACCACCCATGGGACTGAACCCACGCTGGATTCGATACTCTGGAGGTATGGTACACGCGAGCTGTGTGCGCGCCCGCCGCAGACGGCACCGCACCACCCATGGGACTGAACCCACGCTGGATTCGATACTCTGGAGGTATGGTACACGCGGGCTGTGTGCGCGCCCGCCGCAGACGGCACCGCCGCGCGTCTTGCAAAAGACGACGCACGGGCCCCTGTAGTTGGCGCCTGCGGGGCAAGGGAGGGGGAGGTGGACGCCGCCAGGCTCATACAGTCGTACAGTGGCGGGGCAAAGGGTGGCGCGGCATCGTCTCCAAGCCCTGAGTCTAGCAGGAGCCCCACGCCCCACGGCATCGACTTGGGAGGCCAAACACCGTCCGGCCACTGGTCACCGGAGGCCCGCCACTGGTCACCGGAGGCCCGCCACCGGTCACCGGAGGCCCGCCACCGGTCACCGGAGGCCCGCCACCGGTCACCGGAGGCCCGGTGCGTGTGTGCGCGCGCGCCCGCGTGGAAGGCGTCTGCCGTCCAGCCGTCGGCCTGCGCGTCGTACACGCGCTTGAGGTCGAGGTACTCGAGGTCTGCGGGGCGGTGCCGACAAGGGGCGGTTCCGACAAGGCTCGCGGGAGCTTCGTGCAGGTCATGGGCAGGGCCGATGGCAGGGCCCATGGCTCGCGAGGGGTATTCTTGCAAGACGCGCGGCGGGGCTGTCTGCGGCAGGCGCGCACACAGCCCGCGTGTACCATACCTCCAGAGTATCGAATCCAGCGTGGGTTCAGTCCCATGGGTGGTGCGGTGCTGCTCACTCGTGTTTTTGAGAAGCGGCCGGAGGAGCGCCATCTCGGCGTCGTCGCCGGCGACGGGCTCGGCGAACTCTGTCTTGGTCGCAGGGTACGTATCCGGCGCGCCTGGTGAGGGAGGGTGGGAGGGTCGCATAAGGGGCTCTCTCTCTCTCTCTCTCTCTGTCTCTCTCTGTCTCTCTATTGTCTCTTCTCTGTCTGTCTGTCAGTCTGTCTCTCTCTCTTCCTCCCTCTCTCTCTCTCCCTCTCTCTCGCTCGCCCGTTCACTCTCGACCGCTCTCTACTGCGCGCGCGCGGCTCTCTCCCTCGTATCTCGCGCCAGAGGTGCGCGCAATGCCAGACGTGACGCCTGCCTCTGGCTCTCCGAAGAAGAGGCCGAAGAGGCGCTCGCCGACGTCGCGGTCGTCTGCAGCTTGCGGCGCCGGCTCGACCGGGTTGCCGTCGCGGTCAACCTCAATCGGCGTGAAGGCCTTCACGAGCGTCTCGAACGGGTTGCGAGGCGGCGCTGGTGCGGCCTTCTGCTGCTGCTGCTGTGCATTGGCGTCCTGCCGCTCCGCTCGCTTCGACTCTGCGATCTTCTGCTGCTCCGTGAGCCGAGCGTCGCGGGTTGGCGACGAGTTGTACTCGTCGTCGGCCGGCGCGAGCGAGGCTAGGAAGGCGGAGAACGGGTTCGGATTCTCGCCTGCTGCGATGATGCGGCCGCTAGTTCGGATTCTCGAGCTGGCTCTACTGGATGCAACAAAACTCCGATGTGAAGAAAGGCTACCGCCCCGCCCCCCGAGAGGTCCGTTCGGTGCGGCGCTCAGCGCGTAGCTTGCAAGCAACGATAGCATCGCTGGGTACCGATGAACACAACCCGGATTCGCCTCATTGAAGGGGGTAGGGGAGCGTCAACCGCGCATTACTTACTCATAAGCGAGCAGCTTTTGGCTGCGGGTTCGAATCGCGGAAGGCTCATGCCCTCGCGGAGCGACGCGGGTCGCGCGGCGCGCGCGTGTGCGAAATGCGACAACAGACGACAGACGACAGGCGCCTGAGCGCTGTACGACGGGACTTTTGTCGCCGCAATCGCCACCGCCGCCATCTTGACGAGCAGCGCGAGCGCGCTCGTCGGCGGCCAGCCGTCGCGGGCCGGGCCGTCTTCGTGCCAAACCCGCCGCACCCCATTTTTTTTCGTTTGCGCTTTTTGAGTGGGCAGTCGATCTTCTTCGGTTCAGCTTTCTGTGTGATCGGTGGTCCCGCGGGGAGGGCTCGATACGGTGGTGGCGGCGGCGGCGCGGGGCGCGAGGAAGGAGGAGTCCCGCGAGGACCCGCGAGGAGTGTGTGTGTGTGTGTGTGTGTGTGTGTGTGTGTGTGTGTGTGTGTGTGTGTCACACAGGCGCGCGAGCGTCGAGGTCGTGCTCTATAATTTTACCAGGCACAACAACAAAGAACTTTCTGCTCGACCGAGTTTGCGCTGATGAGCGAACCGAGCCGCCGGGTGCCCCGCAGCGGCCTCGCTGGGCCAGAACGTCGGCCCCGAGTGCTCCGCAGCAGCCTCGCTGAGCCAGAACGTCGGCTCGCGAGGTGGGGTGCTAGTCTGGGACCCATACGTGGCAGTTCCCTTGCTCCAAGCGCTTGCGCTTCGGCGGTAGTGATCTAATCACCCGAATACCACGTTCGGATCGCTCCTCATCGCAAAACCCGTCAGCAGTTCACCTACGGGTATGTTCGTAAGAGCTACATACACTGAAGAAGTGAAGGTTGGGGGACGCGTCCATTCAGCAATTAGCACGCCGTTTTGACCGCCGTTATCGATCTCGTGGGTCTAAATTTAGTCCGAAGGGGTGCCCTCCCTCGTCGTTGCTCTCAGTGCAGTCCTCGCAGTGCAAGAGCGGCTCATGCTGTCCGCCTCAGCTTTGTCGTTCGCCGTGCCCAGCCTGCGCACCAGCGCGGCCTATGCCGGCTCCCCCTCCTCCGTGCGCTTCGTGTCGCGCACTTACACCCCGTTCGATCCAAACGAGAAGGCGGCGTACGGGATGGGAGCGGCCGAAAAGTTCAGCTACGACCCGGAGCACGCGTACGCGTACGTGGCGACGGAGCGCGGCTACATCAGCGTGATAGACTACAGCGCCCCCGTCGCCAGCGTCACATCGCTCGGCGTCAGCCTGGGTAAGGGCCTCACTGCACGGGACCTGCGCCTGTGCGGCGAGAGCCTGTACGTTGTCGTCGGCACCATCGGCAAGCGCACGGAGCCCGGCGCGCTCCTCGCCTTCAGCAGGGTGACGCGCGCGGCGCCCGCTAGCCTGGCTCAGGTCTGGGAGGTGGGTGTCGGCCCGGGACCGGACAGCCTGCTTCCTTCTCCGGACTGCAAGACAGTGGCGGTGCGGACAGCAGCACGCCGCTCTCCCCTCCCTGCACCCCACCCCCCCTCGCCCCCTCGCCCCAGGTCTCCAACCAGGGCAAGGGGCAGTGCACCGGCGGTGTAGTCTGCCAGCTCATCGACCCCGAGGGGTGGGTCTGCTGCCGAGATCGCCCGAGCTCACCCGAGCTCACCCGAGCTCACCCGAGCTCACCCGAGCTCACCCGAGCTCACCCGAGTGACGCCACGTGTCCACGTGTCCATCTTGCAGGTCCGTCTCCCTGGTGGACGTCGCCACTCGATCCTCGAAGACGGTGCCGCATGCCCCCTCCCCCTCCCCTCCCTCGCACGCTCGCACGCTCGCACGCACGCGCGCACGCACGCACGCACGCACGCACGCACGCTCGCTCGCAGGTGTCCCTTGGCTATGTCGCCGGGTCGAGCGACAGCGCGCTGCAGGCGGAGGGCGTGCACATCCCGCTCCCGCTGAACGCGATGGTGTACTTTGACGACTTCTCAAACAAGAAGATGGACACGGTCAACTTTGCCGAGGTGTGAAGAGCATGCGGCGTAGAGGAGAGAGGGAGAGAGACAGAGCGGGAGCGAGAGAACGCGCACACACACACACGCACACACGCACACACACACACACACACACACACACACGCACACACGCACACACACACACACACACACACACACACACACACACACACACACACACACACACACACACACACACACACACACACACACACACACACACACACACACACACACACACACACACACACACACACACACACACACACACACACACACACACACACACACACACACACACACACACACACACACACACCGCACGCCCTCGAGGCATGAGTTGAGAGTCATGACGCGCCCAGGCGCGGCGCAAGTACACGCCCGCCACCATGCTCGAGCCCGAGGCGCTGGAGTCGGGCGCCGGATCCGCCGCCAACCAGCTCCTCCCTGGCGACCTTTGCGGATCTGCTCCTCGGCTAGGCGCTGGCGTGGGCTCCCGACGGCTCCAAGCTCTTCGCCGCGCTGCAGATCAACTCGGCGGCCCCGGCGGCGGACGCGGCGCAGTAGCAATGGTGAATGAGCTCACAGTTGACCTGCTAGGCCATCCTGACGGTGGATGTGGCGACCGCCACCGCCGAGCGCCTCACCCCGCTCGGCCTGCAGGAAGGCGGCGTCATCTCAGCCCAACCTCGCGCAATCTCGGCCCATCTCGCCCCATCTCCCGTCCTCTCGGCGGACTCTCGGGGCCTCAGCCTCGACGTGCTCGCTCGGCCCGCAGGATTGGGGGGCAAGCGGTGGCACGCAGGGGCTTGACACGGCCACCTGTCGCCGGCTGGGGTGCCAGCACAAGTCAAACACGGCTCCGAGCAACAATGCTGAGAATAGGTGCGCGACAACGCATGCCAGCTGAAGCACGTGCCAGAGTTCAGCACGCTGCGCTCGCCCAGCGCCATCGAGGCCTTCGAGATCGATGGAGAGACGTGCGCGCGCCTCCCCCACCTCGCCCCCCCCCCCCCATGAGATCACGGGAGATCACGGGAGATCACGGGAGATCACGGGAGATCACGGGAGATCACGGGAGATCACGGGAGATCACGGGAGATCACGGGATGTCAGGTACCTGATGACGGCGAGCGGCGGCTCTGATCTCGAGTACGGCGAGGTGGAGGCCCAAGTTGAGACACGCGGAGCCAGCATTCGATGTTGAAAATGAACTGGGGGGGGCAGGACGCGGCACGGACGGGGCGGGGCACACCCAGGACACGGGGAGGCAGTTAGCACTCGAGAGGAGGAGCACTCGGCCGTAGATTCTCGGCCGTAGATTCGTGCCGCCCCGTGTGTGCTCATGCGGTGCTCCACGGGGCGAAGCCGTTTTCACGCCACGAGTTTAGACGCGAGGCGCACGCGCGCGCGCGCGCGCACCGGGCCTTGCACTTTCAATCACTTTCAATGCCGCGTGGGGCTCCTGTCTCTTGCCACCACCCCCTCGCCCCACCACCCTGTGTGTGTGGAGAGAGGATCACCTTTGCCTTGCCCCAGGTCGAGACCGCCAAAAAGTTCAGAAAGCTGCTCGTCGACGTGCCGGGCGGAAGGCCCGAGTTCCACCCAAACTTCCAGGAGCTCACCGCGCCGGGCGGCGGCGCAGACTTCTCCAAGATCACGACTGCGGTCCGCAACTTTGGCGGGACGAGCATGCGCCTCTCGATCGGCGCGGCGGCGGTAGATGCGGAAACGGTAGATGCGGAAACGCAGGGGTTCGTACTCCGAGCGTTTGTGCCGGCACTCGAGAGGAGGCGCATTCGGCGGTACGCGGCCGTCCCCCCGGTGACCCAATTTTTTTTCCCCCCGTTTGTATTCAGGGGGGTTTTGCAAAACATTTAAAGTGTGGGGGGGGTTTTCGACCCCCCCCCCCTTCCCCCCCCCCCCCTTCCTTCCCCCCCCCCCCCTTCTCCCGAGTCTGGTGCGCACGGCGTAGACTCGACGGCTGTCGACTACTCCGACAATCTCCCGCGACCTCCCGTGATCTCCCGTGGTCTCCCGTAGGCTCCACCGCCGTCGACTACTCCAACCCAATGGCACCCGCCTGGCAGCGGCCTCCCCACGTGCTGGATGGCTGACAAACGGTTGACTGGTGGACTTGCGCTCCTTGTTAGGAGCCCGTCTGGAAGCGGGCTGTCGGGTCCGGGTCGCGCTCCGTGTCAATCTACCGCGCGTCGGACCTGTCGCTCGTCTGGGACTCGGGCGAGATCGTCCCGAGATCGTCCCGAGATCGTCCCGAGATCGTCCCGAGATCGTCCCGAGATCGTCCCGAGATCGTCCCGAGATCGTCCCGAGATCGTCCCGAGATCGTCCCGAGAGATGGACTTGGGACTCGGGCTCGATCATCGAGCTGGAGGCCAACCTCGGGCCATCTCGGGGGGGGGGGGGCGAGGTCTCGGCCCCCTCTCTCGCGCGCATAGGCTCGCTCCTCGAGCAGGAGGGCTGCAAGGCCTTCCCGTGGGCGCACAACGGCGAGCAGGATGACGACTACGCGCTCATGTACGGTGTTGCGTACAGCCACGCCTCCGCCGGCGGCAAGAAGGACATCGCGGAGAAGAACACGCTGTCGCCGCCCGCGCTGGACGGCGACGCATGCCACGACCGCGGCGACGGCAAGCCCGGCCCTTGCCCGTTGGGCAAGACGGTGGATGAGCGCTCGTGGAAGGACGGGCCAGGCACGCGCACACGCTCGTCGCCCGGCCGGCGCTCTTCACCGCCGGCGGGGGGCGTGACGAGGCGCCGTGTGCCACACCGTAGGCATACAGCAGGGGCTCGCTGTGGGCGTGGCGTGCGGCCGCATGGTCGCCGTGGCGGTGACCCGCGCAAACTCGCTCGCCTTCGGCTTCGACGTGACCGACCCAACGCAGCCGGCCTTCCTCTTTGTGCATCATCTCTCGCCCGCCTCCAAGGCCACGGGCTAGGAAGGGGGGGGGGAGGGGGGGGGGACTCAGACCCGTGTTGTGCTCCGACGAGTGATCGGGCGGACACGCACTCCGCCGCATTCGGCTGCATCCAGCGGTTGAGCGGTATTCGCACCCCTCTCGCGTCCGAGTGCGCGCCGCGATCCGTGTTCACACAGAGACACAGCCCGCGCGCAGATCGCACGCACGGACAGCCCCGAGACTCGACAGGCGCTCGACAGGCGGTGAGAGGTTGACTAGTCAGACAGGCAGCGCCGAGTCCGCGGATGGCTAGCGCGACACCCGTGCCCCCCCTCAGCGCGAGCTCTGTTCACATAGACGCGCAACGCCGGGACCCACGACGCACAAGCACAGACCGTCGAGAAGGGAGAGACAGCGGCGGCAGTCAGAAGTCAGCGCTGGGTCCCAGCAAGGCGAATGCGAGGACGGCCTCTAGTGCGAGCTCTATTCACGCCCTGGCGTTGTGTACTCACGCACTAGGACAAGAGCCCGGGCGTCGCCTTCAAGGAGCAGACGCTCGGAGACATCGGAGCCCGAGCCGCACCAGCAGCCTCTCGCCCTCCCCCGCCCACAGCCCTCATGCACGGCGTCACTCACGCGCAAGTAGGCGTCGAGTCTGTGGCAATCCTCGACAAGCACCAGTCGCCGTCGGGCGCCGCCGCGGTCATGTTTGCCGGCGCGCACTCCGGCAGCCTGTCCCTCTACGAGCTCCTCCTGACCAATGGGTCGCGATGCGCGCTTCCGGCACCGCCGCCGCCGACGTCGCCGCCGATCGAGACGCCGCCGCCGCCACCCGCGCCGCCGCCGCCGCCGCCGCCGCCCTCGCCGCCGCCGCCGCCGCCGGTGGGCAAACGGAGGGCCGCGACCCGACCCGAAAGACGACATCACGCGCGTTTGCTCGTCTTTTCTAGGTGCAGATGTGGTGGCTATCCTCTCCGACGCCGCCGCCGCCACCGCCGCCGCTGCTCCAGCCCCCTGTCCCGGAGGAGACCTCCCTCTCGCTGAGCCTGGTCGAGATCCTCGGCGGTGTGGCTCTGGGCCTCGCGCTCTTGGCGGTGCTCGGCCGTCCTCTGCGCGGCGCCGAGAACACGGAGTCGACGCGGCGGAGACTTCTGTTTCTAGGTGCTGCGCCGCGTCCTCTGCGGGGGCGGCGGGAAGAAGCAAGCCCAGGCGGCGCCGCCGTCCGATGCGGCCGAGTGGAAGGTGCGAGATGACTTTGGACTCCCCGAGATTACCCGAGATTGCCCGAGTCGAGATTGCATTGGGAGCCTCCCCCGGCCACTCCCCTCTGCTCCCCTCTGCGCCCCTCTGCTCCCCTCTGCAGCCCCTCACGCTGGAGGCTTCACCGTTTATAGGCGCCGAACAGCTTCACCGACAGCGATCGGCGGCACGCCAAGACGTCCGGCTTCTCCATGTAGCTCTCATGCGGCACGGCGAGCGGGATGGATCGGGAACCGATCACAGCGCATACGGGTTTCTGCGCAGGTACGTGGCGACACTGGGGATTGGAGGGGGCTGGAACTGGGGGATAGAACTGGGGGTTGGGGGGGAAGCGAGCCAGGGACGAACATTGCCTCGTGGGGAGGGGGGTCACCTTTCTTCTAAAGCCTTCGTTCCGCGATGGCAGCAAGACTGGTCAGTCGCCTTCGGGCACCGAACCACACGAACCACGCACTCGCACACGCCGAGCCGCGCGCGGCCGGCTCGTTGAGTGCGAGTATATGGGCCACGATGTCTCAAATATGAGGGGTTTTGACTCCTATAGGCTCCTGACGCTATCCCTGGCAGCTCTAATGACCGGGATCAGTAGTGCTATGATAGAGGGTGCCCAGACTAGCGCAGGAGCTGCCACACTCGCCCGGACCGTCCCCCTCTGGGGCCGGTTCCGCAGCCAGCGAGAGCCGACAGCGGGGTCGTGCCGCGGGTGCCTACTGCCGAGTGCCACAAACACTGCGCCGTCCCGCCACCACCTACAGGCTGTCTTGTGTGATGGTTGGGATGTCCAAACGCCACCATCTTGGCTCTTGCGACCTCGAACCCGCGAGCTGTATGGGTGGTCCTGACGTCGACAGACGCCCGATGACCACGGTGAAGCTGAGCCGGAACGCGTCGACAAGTCTCGTCTGAGCCCGTGGCGGTCGCCGGCTGAGTCGCTGTGCACGGACTGGTACCTCAGGCGTCACCTCCGCAGCCTCAGTTCTCAAACTCCACCACCTCCGCCAGGACGCCGTCGGTGGCACGTTCGGCGGCGTACTTTCTGCAGCTCCATCTCGAGTACGGCGTCGAGCCTACTCACTCCTGTTGGATCTGTGCACTCCCTGGGACCCAGGGAGTGCACAGATCCAGCAAGCGGTGCGTCCCGGCAGCGCACGCAGGCTGCGGAGCTGCAACAAACTCGAGACACGCTTTTTGGGACATTTTCGACGCTTTTGGCCCAACAAGCCGGCCGGCGCCCCTCATGCCCTTCTCCACGCACACCGCGTGAAAACTGCGCGTACGTCCCCGCGCGCACGCAAACACGCGCAGCGCCATTTCAGAGCTGTGCCATGTGCGTCTGCCCTGTGCTGGCGCCCCATGGCCGTCCCGCGCCGCCCGCACCAGCTGCGCGCCCCTCGCACTACCAGAGCCAGCCGCTCGTCCACTCACGCCGCGACGCGCGCACCGCAGCACACCTCACCAGCACTACCTCGCCTTTTTGCGCCCTGTGCAGGCTCTGCACACTGCTTCTGGCATCTCACAAGCGGCAGTACCAGGACGCGCCGCGAGTACGACGCAGGTCCTGCACCGCGCAAGCCGCGCACGCACGCCCGCACGCGCGCGCGCGCGCGCGCGCGCGCTCATCCGTTCCGGTCTACAGCACAGACTGCCAGCCTGCCTGCACACACAGCATACAGCACCACACGCACTGCGCTCGACGATGCTGCCCGCACCCCGCAACAACAGCCTGCCCCTCGCCTCACCACGCCGTCTCGCGCTCACACCGCCAGCAGCCCAATCAGAGACACTGCAACGCGCGCCTCTGCACGCCTGCAGTCTCTCTGAGACCTTCTCAATCCATCCCGCCGCCGCGCCTTCCCGGGCACACACCGCAGCAGTGAACATGTGAGTCGAAGTATTGGATATCGACCGAGCCCGCGCCTGTCGCACACAGTTCCGTTTCTTTTTACTGCCATAAGCAAAAAAAGAAAAACATGATGACGAGACACAAAATTTCTTTCCTACTTGGAGAAAACGAATGAAGGCGTAGGGTGTGTAGCACCGCTGCCAATGACTGCCTGGACGTCACACTGACAGCGAGAGGGAACTCACCAGTCCGATAAGGATCAACTGGAAAGCTAATACACTCACACACGCCCGCGCGGCTCACGCACTGCGCGACCCCCCGCGCCCTGAGAAAACAGCAGCCTTACAACACAAGTGAGCTCCCAGCCAGCAGCCCCGCACGACGCAGATAGCGCCCTCGCACGCCTGCACCTTCTCAGAGGTTCCCACCCCAAGGCTTTTCTCTCACAAAAAGAAAACCTCTCAACCGGCCGCGCCGCCGCAGGGTGTACCAGCCAGCCAGCACAAAGGGAGCGCAGCCATCCCAGGTGCACATTTCGAAGTTAGCCGCAACGGCACACACACACACACACACACACACACACACACACACACACACACACACACACACACACACACACACACACACACACACACACACACACACACACGCACACACACACACACACACGCACACACACACACACACACACACACACACACACACACACACACACACACACACACACACACACACACACACACACGGTTGGGGTCCAGTGTGTGTGAGTGTCACACACACACACACACACATTGGGGTCCACTCGCGTAATACAACTGACAGCGCCTAAAGACGGCGGGTGCCCAAATGAGCAAAGCAGAACGCCATAACCCTCACCCTCGCAGCACATGGTGGCCTACGGCGAGACGGTGGCGACGGCCAAGGAGAACGCCGTCTACACTCCGCCCTCCGAGTTCATCGACTATGAAGGGCTGAAGGAGGAGGTGTACCGGGCACCGTCAGCCGAGGCGGCGTCGCTGCTCACACACATCAGCGGCGGCTCGGCGGCCAAGCGAGGAGAGCGCTTCATCAGCCAGCTTCAGGCCGAGATGGACAAGGCGTCGCGCCACGTCCGCGCGCGCGTCTCCGTGATCGTCGGCATCCTCGCCAACGTGCTGCGCGAGGCCGGCAAGGCAGAGCCCGCGTCGGTGGAGCTCGCCCGCCTCACCCAGGTGACGGAGGATGCGAGCGCTCAGATCGTCGAGCTGATGAAGTACGTCGAGATTTGCCGGACGGCGTGCCGCAAGGCGACCAAAAAGTTCGACAAGGTGCAGCGGACCTCGCTCGGCAGCTGGCTGGTGGCGCAGCTCGCACTGCAGCCCTTTTGCAACGTGTGCCTCGAGCCGCTGATCGTCATGCTCTCCGACGGGTTCGCCTCGCTCCGCGCCGCGTCCAACCCGCCCAAGACCGACGCCGAGGTCGAGAAGAGTCTAGCTTCGCCCAACCTTCACCTTCGCCCTCCCCCTTTGGCCCAACCCTCACCCCACCCCGCCGTTTCCCTGGCCCTCACCAGCCAACCACCGCATTTCACCGCCTGACCCCCCCCCCCTCTCCCCCCCCCCCCTCCAGGGCCGGCCCATCGAGTGGGTGCCGCCCAGCGACTTCGAGCGCAGCACCACAAAGTACTGGGTCAAAAAGGAGAACGTGCCGGAACTGACGGCGCGCGACGCCCTCATCATGACCTCGAGTGACCTCGAGTGACCTCGAGTGACCTCGAGTGACCTCGAGTGACCTCGAGTGACCTCGAGTGACCTCGAGTGACCTCGAGTGACCTCGAGTGACCTCGAGTGACCTCGAGTGACCTCGAGTGACCTCGGGTGATCTCGGGTGATCTCGGGCGAGCTCGTCCTAGGCGCGCGTGCTCAAGCACCTCTCCATCCTCATCATGGGCCGCACGCCCCCCACGCTCGCCCTGGCGGCGGAGGAGGCGCCGGTCCTGATGCATCACGCCCAGGCCATCTACTCCAAGTTCTACGAGGGCACGTCGGTCCTCTCGTGGATCACCTCCCTCTACCTCGACTCGCTCTCCTTCCGCCAGTACCACGAGCGCCTCGCGCGCGACGACGGGGCGAACCTCTTCCGTCTGCGCTGGTACGGGCTCGACCCGGAGCAGGCGGGAGAGGTGGGGGGAGGTGGGGAGAGGTGGGGGGAGATGGGGAGAGGTGGGGAGAGGTGGGGAGAGGTGGGGAGAGGTGGGGAGAGGTGGGGAGAGATGGGGAGACGAGGTGGCCATAGCCGCTCACCTAACCCGGAGCAGGCGGGCACAGTCTACGTCGAGCGCAAGACGCACCGCTCCAAGGACTCTGGCGAGAAGTCGACCAAGCAGCGCCTCCCCATCGCGCCGTCTGCTGTGCGCGACTTGCTGCACCCGGAGCGGGCACTCGACGTTGCCGCGCAGCTCGACGCGCAGCTCGCCGCGGGGGCGATCTCCGAGAAGCAGCGCGACAAGGGGGTGGCGCTGGGCGCCGAGGTGCAGGCGGCGCTGGCGGAGCGAGGGCTGCTCCCTGCCGTGAGGACCGTCTATCAGCGCACGGCGTTCCAGGCCTCCGACTCGACCATTCCATGACCATTCCGTGAACATTCCATGAAGAGAGTGATCGTCTTCACTCCGCAGGCCTCTGACTCGAACAGCGTCCGCCTCACCCTCGACTCCAACCTCTCGCTGATCAAGGAGGCCCTCGCCCTCGGCGATGCGGAGGCCCCCGCAGGGGTGCACGAGTGGTGCCGCAACCTGTCAGAGCCGCTCGACCCGGCCCACATCCTCCCCTTCCCCTTCGCGGTGCTGGAGGTCAAGCACACGCACACACACACACACACACACACACACACCGCTCACCCACACGCACTGGGCCTCGCACTCTGAATGCCGTGCCCGCTCCCGTCGTCTAGACGTGGAGTCGCAAAGGCTATCTTGGCCCTCGCCCCACCACCTCGTGCGCGTGGAGAAGCGTACCTGACCTTGGTCCTTGCGCCTTACCTCAGGTCAAGCTGCAGGACGAGGCTCCAGCGTGGGTGGAGGAGCCGCTCGCGAGAGGGCAGCGTGACGTCCCCGAGGAGGGAGCAAGCGCCCACTCAGTGAAGAGGGCGTCCTGAACAGGAGCTGCTCGCGTCGGAGCTGCTCCTCCCGATGGCCAAGTTCTCGAAGTACCTGACGGGGTGCGCGGCGCTGCACACCGGCGCGGTGGAGACGCTGCCGTACTGGTTCGAGGAGCCCGCCGTCGAGGAGGCGCTGGCCAGCCAGCCTGTGAACGGCGTCCCTTCACGGGTGCAGCCTGTGAACAGGAGCCCGCCGTCGAGGAGGCGCTGGCCAGCCAGCCTGTGAACGGCGTCCCTTCACAGGCGCAGCCTGTGAACAGGAGCCCGCCGTCGAGGAGGCGCTGGCCAGCCAGCCTGTGAACGGCGTCCCTTCACAGGCGCAGCCTGTGAACAGGAGCCCGCCGTCAAGGAGGCGCTGGCCAGCCAGCCTGTGAACGGCGTCCCTTCACAGGCGCAGCCTGTGAACAGGAGCCCGCCGTCAAGGAGGCGCTGGCCAGCCAGCCTCTCGAGGGCGCGAGCTACTCCCTCGCCGCAGTCCGCGACTGGGCGCCGGCGGCAGAGCTCGATGAGGCTCAGCGCAGGCAGCTGCCGCACAACCCGCAGTCTGGGAGGGAGGGAGTGGGGTGCAGGTTGCTCACCCACGGCACCGGGCCGGTGCTTGCACTTTGAATGCCGTGCCAGCTCCTGCCCGCGTCCCGGGCGTGGAGATGCGAGGGTCGCCCCCCCTTGTGTGTGTGGAGACGTTTCCCTTGCCTCACCTTAGGCAGCTGCCCAACCTCCTCAAGGACGTCAGTGGCCGCAGCGACGGTACCTTCCGCACGGAGCGGACAGTCGCCTCGGCAGCCGCGCCCGCGGACAGGACGAGATCCAGCCGAGATCCAGCCGAGATCTGGCCGAGATCTGGCCGAGATCTGGCCGAGATCTGGCCGAGATCTGAGTGCGTTGCTCCAGCCCGGCCTCAAGCCGAAGCCTTCGCAGCGCTGTGCTCGCGCCGACGGGTCCGCCGAGCTGTGAGTGTGAACGGCGTATCTTCACGCCTGCAGCTGTGAGCAGGTGCTCGCGCCAAGTCTCGCGCCAGTCCTCCGTCTGCGGCGGGCTCGACTCCGAGCCCGACACAGAGGCTGCCCTTGCCGGGCCCCATTCCCCCGTGGCACCCCGCTCCCCCGCTCCCCCCCTCCATTGCTGCCTTGGCAACCCCCCCCCCCCCCTCCCTTGCCTCACAACGGCTGTGTCTCGCCGGCGTCCGCCAGGCCTCGCTCCGCTCGACGCCGCACTCGTCTCGCAGCATGTCTCGCCACAACTCCTTCTCGCGCCTGGAGTGCGGGCTCCTCGGCGCCGGCGCCACCAGCGAGAGCAGGGCGCACGTGGCTGCCGACGGTGCCTCGGCTCCTTGTCCGCCCCCTCCTCCTCGCCTATAGCTCCGCGCCCTCGTCAGCACCCTCCTCCTCGCCCGCAGCCCAGCCCCATCGTCGATGCCTAGGTGGCCACCTCGACTCAGCGCAACGCTTATCTTTCGGTGAGCGAGTACGTGCTGCCGAGTGGATGAAGACGGTGGCGCCGGCGGCGAAGGCGGGCTCGTCGCCGCTCAACGCGCGCTCCGTCACGGCGGGCGGCGGCGTTGCCGCCAAGCAGGCGGTGCCGCCAGAGTCGGCGCCGTCAGAGACGGTGACGGTGCCGTCAGGCCCGCGGCGCACGCGCTCGTGGAGCTTCGACGGCTCGTGGAGCTTCGCGCTCCCCTCCTTCAGCCACCTCGGCTCCGCCTCCGCCGGGGGGACGCAGACCGCGTGGAGCCGGATGGTGGACGGCGACCCGACGGCGGGCAAGCGCGTCGCACGGAGCCCCGCCGCCCGCATGGAGCCCAAGACGTTCTTCGCGAACGAGCGCACCTTCACGTCGTGGCTGAGCGCGGGCATGTTGCTCCTGTCGGTCGGCATCGCAATCACCGAGCTTGAGGACGACATGGAGGACATGGACGGCCACACCGTGAACAGCGTCTCTTCACACCTCCAGCTGTGAACAGGACGTGGCGGGCGCGGAGCAGGACGGCGGCGGCCTGATGATCATGCGCTCGGCGCTGCTGCTGCTGTGCCGCTGAGAGTGCATTCGTGACTCATCATCCATAAGTGGATAGGTGCTCGGCGCTGCTGCTGATGCTGTACGGCCTCCTCACCTTCCTCCTCCGCCTCAAGAAGATCAAGCGCAAGGACCCGCTGGGCTACGACGACCCAGTCGGCCCCGTTCTACTCGTCATCGTCCTCTGCGGCGCAGTCGGAACCTACCTCCTCCGGATGTATACCTTCAAGTGGCCGGGCGAGGAGGTGCGCACAGACCGCTCACACCGCTCACACCGCTCACCCACGCGCACCGGGCCCCTCGCACTTTGAGTGCCGGGCCGGCTCCCGTCGCTTAGACGTGGAGTCGCGAGGACTGCCTGCCCCCCCTTGCCCCGCCCCCTTGTGCACGCGTGGAGAAGTTTCCGTGAGCTGACCTTAGGTGCACACGGCCGACACGCCCTTCTCCAAGGAGTTTGAGATGGGGGTGATGCCGTCGTACTTCGTCAACGAGACCGCCGCCATCGCGATGGTTGCGAGGGCGATGCAGGCCTCGGCGTCGGTCTCGTCAGTCACACTCGCCCACGCCACCTTCGAGCTCTTTCGCCAGACGGAGCTCGACACGGCGGAGGACCTCGTCGTCAACCAGGGCCGCTCCAAGGTGAAGCTGACCACGCGCCTAACCCTCAAGGGCGCGCGCTACATGAGCGCCAACCTCGGCTCGGCGCCGGGCACGGGCAGCACGGACCTCACTCTCTCCGTCAAGGGCACCGAGCGCGCGCAGCTCGCCGCCACCGCCGCCAACTGCGTCGGACGGTACGCGGCGCACTGCGAGGTCAAGGTGGAGCAGAACTTCCACATGGAGAAGGCGGAGGTTGGCCAGCCGCGCTCGCCGCGCGTGCCGCTGCCCGCCACCAGCTGGCAGCGCTCGGTCAAGATCTCGGGCATGCCGCACACGACCTCGCTCACCACGATCGGCGACCACCTTCGCGGGTGTGGTGTGCGGGGGGCCCAGAAACAGACGCGCATCTCCGGGTGTGTTTCTGATCTAGGCGACCTGAGGGGGTACTTCGCGTTACCGCCTCGTGTGCCGGCGGGGCCCTTCCTGCTCGGCACGGAGGACGAGGAGCGCCTCTACGTGCGCGACGAGTTTTACTACTGGAAGGTGAAGCAGCAGCACAGCGCACGCGGGGGTAGCCTTGCACGCCCGCGTGTGGCGCGTGTGGCGCCGCCAGACTTTCGAGCCAGACTTCCCGTCCCTGCCTTGTGTGCCCGTCAGGTCAAGCTGCCGTTTGCGCTCGCGCAAGCGCCGTCCGTCTACCTCTACGCGTCGCTCACCACAAAGTACGAGTCGCCGCAGCTGGCGGTGCTGCCGCTGCAGACGCCGCGGGAAGACTCCGAGCTTTCCTTCAAGATTGGAGGCAACCAGAACCACGGCGTCGAGGTGAGCGAGGGCGGCTCAGCCTGTGAGCCCCCACAAAAGCGTGTGTGGAGGAGCTCGCGCCTCACCTTGCTTGCTCACCCCTCAGGTGAGCGACCTCAACTCGGACGGCGCCCTCTCCCTCGCGGCGCACGACCTCTACAGAGAGCTGCGCAGCGCGCCGTGGGTGTCGGACAACGCGTGAGAATCAGCCAGGGGGGGGCGACCCTCACGCCGAACACGCGCTTCGCTAAGGTAAGGTAAGGTAAACGTCTCCACACACACAAAGTGGTGGGGCAAGGGGGGGCGACCCTCGCATCTCCACGCACGGGACACGGGCAGGAGCCCCACGGCATTCAAAGTGCAAGCACCGGCCCGGTGCCGTGGGTGAGCAACCTGCACCCCACTCCCTCCCTCCCAGACACAGGACCCGCACAAACCCCCACAGCGTGGACGACTACGTGTTCAGAAACACCAAGCAGCGAGGCGAGGGTGAAGGGGTAAGGGGCTGTGTGGGGCAAACTCTACATCTGACTACTCCATCTAGCCTGGGGGGTCGCAGGAGGGGGGGGCAGAAGGTAAGATATGGGTGAGGCCAGGGGTGGGGACCTAGAATAAGTCAAAGGACATGTTCTCGGCCCCGCCATCGCCGCCGTCGCCCTCGTCCGCCTCGAAGGCGGAGGTCGTCGGGCGGGGCGTCTCGCCCGTCGCGAACCTGCCGCCGAACACGGCGTCGGCCGGCGCCGAGGCGCCGGCAGCCGTGATCAGGTCGGCAACCTTTCGGTCCCTGCAGGCCGCATCAATTTTGCCTCGCCGGGACGGCTCGTAGAGCTCGTTGGCGAGCCAGTCCCGGGCGACCTTCGTCGCCACGGAGCCCATAGGGACCGTGGCGTACACCATGTCGCCGAACCCGCTGCCCCCCTCTGGAGGCAGCGCGTAGGCGACCTGAATGTTGGACCCGGTGGGGATGCGCGCCGCCTGCGTCGCAGCCTCCAGGCCCTCCATCACGAACATGGCGTTCTCGCGCAGCTGCGCGTACGGGTAGCCCGCACGCTCGGCCTCGCTCGCAGCCGCCGCCGCAGCCTTCTTCTTCGCCCTGTTCGCCTTCTGCCGGGCCTTTTTGGCCCTGCGAGCCGCGGCCCGAGCATCCTTCTGCTCCTCCGTCAGCTCCTCCTTCTTCCGCGGCGCGGTGCGCTCGATGAACAAGCGCTCCGCCGCCTGCACAGACTCGCGGTCGCCCGCGGCCTTCTCGTGCTTCAGGTCGACCTCGATGGTCGCGTAGCCAGGCCTTATCAGCCTGACCTGCGACGCACCTGCGAGCCTTGCGACCATCACCGCGTCTTCCAGTTGCGCGCGATCGTAGCTATTCCAGGGTCCGCTGCGCGCCCCCGGTGCAGCACGACGGTGGCCGGCGCTTGCGCACCAAGCCCCGTCCGCCGCCGGTTCCGCGGCCGCGGTCCCTTGCATAGCTAGCGCTTCGCTACGCTGTGCTGCTGTACCTCCGCCGGCCGTCGCGCGTCGGCGGTGCGCTGCGACGGGGCATAAGTGTTGTTCTTGCCCCCAAAATGCACTGACAGTCTGATCCCACTGACCACTGTTGATTTTGGGTTCCATGCTGCATGATGCAGTGTGCAGCAGTTTGAGATCTCTTATAGTGTTACAGAGGGCATCTTAGAGTGTCAAGTGCGAAGTGGACGTGCCACAAGATAGTCTAGAGACACGCTCGTGGCCGTAGACCGAACCACGTGGCAGGGTCGTGGCCAGCGCGCCAGGTCCAGGTGAGGAAAAGAAATCACCGCGCCTGTCCGCTGAGCGCTCACACACTCCTTACGGTGCTGCCCAAGGCGCGCTGCGCAGCTCGCTGTAGAGCGCACGCGCGGCGAGGAGGGAGGGGCCGGCGAGGTCGCCGCCCTCGGGCGTGACGTCGGGAGCCTGCGGGAGGGTTCCGAGAAGGTTCCGAGAAGGTTGGGAGGGGGTCGCCGGTCCGCTATGGCTCTAAGCTCGAGGCCGGGGGCCCTGGCTTGAGGAGGGGCGCGGCGATGACGAGGGCGGGCGGCGTCCGATGAAGAGGAGGGGCGGCGATGCGTTCATCACACCGACTACTATTCGTGATCCATGACGCGCGAGCCTGGCTGGCGAGCCGGAAGGACAGCTCAGAGTCCTCGCGCGGCGCCCGGTCCGGCCGCACCGCCAGCTGCGGCGTGTCATACCGTGTGGTAAGCGACGCGACGAGGCGAGACTCCGGCGCCGCCGCGAGAGAGAACGGGAGCCGCACCTAAGGCCAGGTCGACGCATTGAAACAGGCGAGGCGCGCCGCGCGCAATGCGCGGTGATGTGAACATGGACTGTGGGCCGCACCCTCCAATAGTAGTGCTCGCCCACCACGTACAACCGCTCGCCGTCCGAGCAGGAGGGGCGGGCGGGCAGGAGCGGTGACCACCTAGGGCAGTGGCGTCGGGCGGGCTGAGAATCGAACCCAGAGGTTTGTGGATGACACTGGTTGAAGGGGGCGGCACCGCGCGGTCAGAAAGGGCGCGGCGCGCATACTGCCGCCCACGTCGCGCGGCAGGGCAAAGTACCCGCGTAGATCGCCAACCTACAGTCAGTCAGTCAGTGTTACACACGTCCTAGCATGGACGACGGGGCACGCGCACTCGCGGAACACAGGGCATTACACACGAGGCGTTGTGTGCGTTCTCAGGGAAAGGCGGCATCACCAGAGACAAAAGTATATATACATAGTTTGATCGCCAACCTACTTAGGATCAGATGACTGGAATGGGGCGTGATGATGCTTGACGTGTCGGACGAAGCCCAAGTCGGCAGCCTACTCATTCGAGCATGACGCTGATGAGACGTACTCACTCCATGGAGTGCCCACATTCAGGCCGCCGCGGACCGACGTGACCGACGCCGTGTACGGCAAGCGCGTGACCGTGAGCTCCCTCGCCATCGCGTGCGAGGTCCGCACGATCCTGACGTCGCAGTGCGCCGCGTACCTAGATGCGTAACTGGTGTCCACTGTACCACCTTGAGTCATTTCAGATGTGATTTCGCGCCGTTGCGCCGCGACCGTCCAACGCAGTTTGCGGCGGTGGAGGCGAGCTCCGCAAAGTCGCCACCGCGGATGCTCATCGCCAGGCCTGTCAGCGTCCCCTTGCCGCTCCCGGAGCCGAAGCTGCGGCTCTTGCGGCGCGCTCCCGCGGCCGTCAGCAGCGTGGTGAGCGTGACCGCCGTGCCGCTGGCGTTGAAAATCTCTCGGAAGGAGTGGAGAGGAGTCGCGTGGTGCGTGTCGAGGTCCGTGCGGCGCAGGAGCTCAAAGGTCGCGTTTGCGAGAGTGACCTATGCCGGCCCCAATCACTACAACCATGACTCGTGAGTGGCAGGACTCGGAAGCTGTCTCATGCGAAAGGGGTGTGACCGACGCGACGGCGGCCGAAGCCTGCAGCGCCCTCGCCACCACTTTGACGGCGGCCGCCTCGTCCGCAAAGTGCGATGGGGCAAGGGGGACCTGCTCACAGACGCAGCAGCTGTGAAGAGAAGACGAGAAAGGGAGGGAGGGGGGTGGGGGGGTGGGGGGGTAAGCGGCACCTTGAAGGCCTCGAAGAAGGGCGTGTCGGCCGT